TTTTTTTTTTTTTTTTTTTTTGCAATTCAATTTTATTTACAGGATTTACACTCACACTACTTACAGCACCTTTGTTTATACTTACAAATATACTTACGCTATACTTCCTTAAAAAACTTACACTACTTCCAGTACATTTATTACAATACAATAACTCTAATTAATATAAAGCGCGTTTACTTACAATGTTTTTTTTTATTGTTTCTACATTAATTGTTCAAACCCATACTATAAAAAAAAAAGGTAAATTAATTTTTTTGTCGCTTACACTGCTTACAACACTATATATTATACTTACATAAGTACTTACACTATACTTACTTCTTACACGATGCTTACACTTTATTGACCTGCACTACTTACAATACATGTGTTACAATACAATTACACCAGTCAAAGTGAATTGCAGTTTTTTTTTAATTTATTTATTTCCACAATTACAACAATTGCAATTATTTTTTCAACAATTTATTTACTGAAGAATGCTTCAACCTCATTGGGCTATTTTTATAGGTTCTTTCTGGACTCTTTAATTTCCGTTTTCAAACAAGTCTGTAGTTTTATACTATTACAAGATTTAAGTTACACTTGAATCACTTTTAATACTTTTGCTTGAGGATGTGCTGTCCAGAGAGAAAAAATGCATTGGCACATGTATGGAACAGAAGCTACTCATTTCCTTGTCAGATCTCTCAGAAATTTGCGACAGGTCTCTGGAATGTTTTGGAAATTAACCAGAAAGATCAAATAATGACCTTAAGATAATCCTCGCAAAGTTTTGAAGTATTTTCAGAAATCTTCACAAAATGCTCACCAACCTTTGTAAAACTGCAGAAGTCTTCTTATTCAAAATTGTTTACATAATCAACAAAATAACACATGGTTGCTTGGAAATAATGAATGGAAGTTTCTCTTCTCATGTTTATATCAAGTTAAACACTCAAGGTATCTCCATGCTTCCATTATTTTCTCTTTCCATCCTTACCTTAATCTCATGTGACTCTAAAGCTCTTGTAAACTGCGGTCAAGTCTACAATATTCGGAATTTTTACCAAGCCACTGAGGAAATTCAATCCTCTGACCCATTTCCCCAGTCATCAGATCGAATGGGATCACATATAACATCATTGCCTAAAAATTGAACATTTGATAAATACTGGATAAAGATTGAATTAACAATGAATTTGACAATGAATTGACCTTCATCTCTCTATTATTTTAGTGCCTGTATAGGTAACACGGACCAGTGCCCTTTCTGTCTGATAAGATCACCATCACAGATTTAGTCAGCTGTCTGACTAACAAGTGCCAGGGTCCTCTTTACCTTGTCCCTAATTAGTAAACAAGATGCATAAGGAATTGAAAAGGTCCTCTAAAATGTACTATTTTTCAACCAATCCTTAAAAATCATACATGTATATGTACAAGTACAGCTATAAATCTCTTATTAACCAGGCCTGCTAAAGGCTCTTGTCAAACAGTGCATGATAGTCCTCGATAGTCGCTATGCACACTTTAAACACAGACTATCATGGGCTATCATTGGCTATCATCAACCATCATTCACTTTAAGCTTGTTTAAATTATCCATGACACATGTAGGCGATAATAGTTTTCCTGTTTGACCACAAGAGTGATAGTTTGTGATAGCTGATGACAGTTCGGAAAGAATGAACAATTATTAATAATAGCACAAAAACAATTAGAACAGCTTAGTTGTCATCTTACTGGGAATGCCCTGGATCCGCCGAAAGGCAGTTTTCTTGTACAGAGGCATCAATGAGTAGTCGCAAAAGACCATCCTTGATTTTTAATTCAAGTCCATCTTTGAACTCTCGCATCAAAAGGAACCTGAAAGGAAACTGGTTAAATTAGGAAAGACCTGCAGTCGCTTCAGTCTGCAGTACACATGTACAAAAATAGAAGGATGCCACTTTTCTTTGAATAGAGAAATTTGACACAGCATTGAATTAATCTTTTATGACGCATTAAGGCCCCCTCAGCCATGCAGTGTGAAATAACAACATCACAATGCTACAAATCTGTGACTGTACACAGGAAACCATACACTATCCCTTATCCGTTAAACCGATAAAAGCATTTATCATCCGTTTGTTATCCGTTTGTAATCCGTTTAAACGTTTCATGAAAACTGTTTCAAGCATTAGGCACAGTGTTTAATGTTACGATCAGACCGTTCGAACGGCTTTCGCAACTGTTTACAAATTTTTTTGCATGTGTTAAAAAGGAAAGAGGTATCTGTCAAGAACATCTAAACATCCGCTAAAATGGATGCTTAGGTGTTAGTAGCAGTTTTTTCAGTTTCAGAATTCTTGTTGTCAATCTCTCCATCACTACCAATTTTAATGTTTATACACGTTTATTTTTGGCAAAAAGACCTGGAGTAGTTCTGTCTTCTTTAATTACCGCAGCATACATTCACTCTGATTGCTCTTTATAGGTTAGAGTGGGTTTGTAAAATACACTGCACAACTGTAGATGTTTCTTTTAAATGTCAGAACTCTATAAGGTGCTCATTCGAGGAAGAGTACTTTTTTGAAGGCGGATGTTTTTTTTGTTGTTGTTGCTGGGTTTTTTTTTTGTTTGTTTGTTTGTTTTTTGTTTTTTTTAATCAGGGAATTATTTACCATTTTGATGTCTTTTTGTGCCCTGGCTGCATCCTCATTGGATTGATCATAACTAAGACTCTTCTCCTTGGCTGTCCACATGGTCAAACTATAAAGAACCTGAGAGAGAAACAAAGCAGATGACAAAAAATATTTACATGTATCACAGTATTTTCTTGAAATAACTTCATCTGGTGAGCAAGACATCAATGCTGTTCAAGGCAAACCTATCTGACTTACATCTTGGTTTGCACCAATTATAATCTGGTCCATGGCCTGAGGTGGAATCTTGAGCCCTTCCTTGAATTCAATGCTCATCATAGCACCCTTAAAGGTAAAACAAATAAACTGTTGTCATGTTGTGTATGATGAGAAACGTAAGTAAGAGATAAAAAGTGTGATGGTGAATTCAACCTGTTTTATTTTTTCTCCAGCCAAATATTGTAAACAAACCAAGAAACAAACTATACATGGTGGTAGGGAGGGACATCTGGAGGAACGGAGCAAGGGAGAGAGGGAATGGAAGCAAGAGGCCAAGAGGTAGGGAGAAGGGGAAGGTGGAAGAGTGGGGAGAAGAGAGGGAATGATGATGATGATGATGATGATGATGATGATAACTTTATTTAAGTGTCAAATGTATTTAGCCCTATTTTAATAGTAGCACTATCTTTATAGTATTTAGCACTATTTTTATAGTATTTAGCACTATTTTAATAGTGCTAAATACATATTAGTGCTAACTGGCTACACTGTAAATAAATAAACAAATATTTCAAATATAACATAAACTATTAAGAAGCCCAACTGGTTGGAGGCTGACCAGTTGGCTATTTACCAGGCTATTTAAACAATGCAGTCAAGGAGTTGTTCTCGGGGCTACCGAGAACAAATCCAGATAGTGGTAGGGTGGAGGATTTGAACCTAAACCACTCGGCCATGCCGCCTCCACAGGGAATTAAAGAGGGAAGCAAGGAGGGATAAAGGAGGGGAGGGAATGAAAGAGAAAGGGAGGGAGAGAAGGAAGGACAGAGAAAAGGAGGGAGGAAGGGAGTGAGGGAATAAAAGAAGAAAGCAGGGGGAGGGGAGGGAGATAAGAAGAAATGACAAGAGGCAGAGAGGAAGGGATTAGGTGCACAAGGTGAAAAATGTTTATGATTCACATCTAGCTGTTTTGTCCCACACTGCTTAGCCTTAAAAAACCAAACAGACAAACAATTTAACAAAATACAATCTCTCTCCACCATCTATCACATGCAGTTAGTTTCAATGGGGTGATACTTAATTATTAAGAACTGTTTTGTTTTTGTTTTTGTGTCAGTATACATGCTTTTTTGGAATAGGACTATCTGACTATGTACAGTGTGGGTACAATAAAGTGTAAAAGATCCTTTGACTGCCCTTACTTGAGAACGTTTGCTCTCACCTGGGTCCTGTCCCACCACAATATAAATGTAACTTGTTTTCTTGCTCACCGCCTGAGTTACCTTGCCACCGTACCTCTGAATCAAAGCCGCAGCGTCATTTCTCTCAATACTTTCCAGCACTTCAGTGATAACAAATGTCAGTTCCTCTAAGCAGTTTTCTTTGCCCTTTGAGTATAGCCAAATAACATCAAATTTGTCCATTACTGGACCAAACGAAACTGACTAAGATTTGTTCAAGACATAGAAAAGTTCATAAGAGCATAGCGCTTGTGTTAATGGAGTGCTGCCAAGGTGTGGCACCATTGTACATGCACCTCTAAAGTGTGTGTATGCATGTATTGAGTTGTACCTACGGTTGTAAGTACTTGTAAAACACACAACTAACTGTTTCTATTTTATACAACTTGCCACACTCACTCAATATTGAATTATCCTTGCTAATTTTGAATAAGATTGATACTCACCTCAAGGAGTGGTTTTGAGCCAAGAGCTCTGGGACCATCCCTTGCCATGAAACAAATTGACCTACAATGTAAGTTAAAAGAATAAAATAATTGACCCCCAAAAATATATATTTAAGATTCCAAGAAGTAGTAAAAAACTTCTCATTGCACAATTGTAAACAAATTTGCTTCAACTTAACTACATGAAAGTCTTAAGGAAAGCAATACTGAAAGAGAAACCTGAGTAACTGTTTAAAAGAAAAATAATCGCATTGTACCTCTCCTTAACATGCACAACCTTCTTGCTTGTTTTTGTTTCCATTTGCTTGGCAGATTTTGTTAGCTTCTGAGGTACAACTTCTTCCTGTTCTGCAGAATGCCAATGTGTACATTAATTTTAACCAGTTGATATTAATACGTGTACAAGTATGAGATGTGTTTACTTAATAAAATCCAAGAGAAAAGACAAATGGACATTTTTTGGGGGGATTTGGTTAAATAAAAGTTTTGAACCGATCTAGAGTTAGAAGCATCTGGATAAAACTTGTAGAACAAAATTAATACCAGAATAAAGTGATGTGTTGCCACTAAAATATTTTGGTACACAGATTTGATTGCATTTTCTTGCCTTATTCTTCTGGCTTTCTCTGGGCTTTTGTTTCCTTGCAATCTCATCATCTTTGCTGCTTGATAAACCCTACCCCAGTAAAATAGCAAAATTGTTTTTCTATGGATACATGTAGTTTAAATTCCATGTATAATATTTATACAGCATGTAAATTCTTGGACTGAGGAAATTAAAGTAGCCACGACAGGGACACGATTCAGCTCAAAACACTCACTCCTTGAGGTGTTTTTCGCAAGGACAGAATTGTTGGCGCTAGCTGTCGTTGATTCTCTCGTCGTCGTCGGCCAAAAAAGAGACTGAGATGAAACTAG